AATGTAAAGCACAAAATAGAAAGCTCATTGATTTGTAAGTTATTAATGATATCATATAGAATTGAATTATATGGGATAAAAAATCAATATTACACTATTTGAAGCAGTCTGGAAAGCACAATATCGGGTTAATACAATTTTGAATTTAATGTGTGTTGTATATGGGATTAAAATATATGGTATTATTGTACATCTGTCACTGTAACGCTATAAGTTACGATGTGCCATAATTTTGCTGTATTTGACGGAGTATTTTTACCCTTTCCTTCCAAATAAGGAATGATTACGCACGTAAGCGTCCTCTAATAATAAAAAACAAACATGACAGCCCTCAGAGTTTGAACAGACCCCATACAAAGAAGTTCGCTCAATCTGTTCTAAACCTTTTGTATTTCGGCATTCCCATGATGTATTTTTGGAAGAAAAAGATATATAATAATACCGTACTCGACCACGTTAGCACCCAGGGGGCCTCAACTCAGAAAATCATGATTATTTAGGGGTGGGCGCTGAAAATGAAAATTTTGATTCATCAAGTGACAGATTACGTCTTTGAGGGAAAATCAATGAAGAAACAGAAATGATTACAAAAATATGCATATTTTATTACAATATTAATTAATTACGTACCACCAGAATTTACGAAATTAAAAACATTTGAGTCTGTTGGAACACAGTTGAAGTCAAAATTGTCGTATTATCTCCACTGACGAAGGTGTTGGATCGTGTGCAAACTCTCGATGAAAATCACTTTCTGCCATGATGCATTTGCAGATTTGACCTGCAGCAGCGTCCTTTGACCTAATGGGTCAAGTTGGTTATTAACCAATCAGAATGTTGTGTTGTACTGACGCAATTCTTTGGAAATTCCCGAAGACTTTCCGGTAACGCAATGCGCAAGTGAATTATCAATGTTGAAGTACGATCTGTTGGAATTGATTTCAGCGAATAAACGACATGGTTTTTCCGAAAAACTAGTAATTAGCCACCCTGGGCGTTTAACCGAGGATGTCCCCAACATGTAACTTTTGTGAAAACAGGGCGGTGGGCGCTTGCCCAAAGAGGGGCGCGTGCCCAGGGTAATACGGTAGCTTGCATCTACAGTCATGAAGATATATGAGGTCTGAAAATTCAAATAATTAGATTAATACAACTTATTATTTTATATACATTATTTTTTCATTACTAAACTACACTGACAAAACAATTGTGAAATATCAATTCATAGTGTTAGGGAATTACTAGTATTTGCACACATAACGATAATCTAGATTCTCATGAATTTATGCTCCCGGTTCCAACCATTTTAAGGGTTTAATTGAAACATGGCTGGCCTGATTAATTTTGGTACAAATTTGTACATGTTAATTAGGTACATACTGTTTGTAGCTTGTTTATTTACTTCTTTAGTCTGGTTTGATTTACTCTGTATAAAAGAATGTGTTGAATTATGTTACAATCATGTACATATCATTTATCATTGGTTTATAATAGTCTCTGTTTATTTTAATTAGCTAATTCATTTATTTTAATTTAATTTTAGTACATTACATAGTGTACATAGCTTACTAATTACTGTTTTCTGTTTCTTCACTCTGTATCATAATGTCTTTCTCAGTTGGTTGAAATGTGTTACCTGCTCACTGTATTTAGTTGAATGTCCAATCCTAGTTTTTAATTAATTTGTCCTTATTAATTATTTAATTTGCATACTTATTAACTTTCAGTATGTTTTGTTTATATTTTAACTTTTCTGCAATTATTTGCAACTTGGTACACATGTGATGTCTGTGCAGTCTTGTGAGTTTGCATAATTGATTAAAAAAAGTCTTTCCAATCCAGGTATGCATGATTTGACCGATGCTCTTTTAAAATTTTTTTTACTATTTTTATTTACAGTCTGGTTCAACCAGAAATCATGGAAGAAATGGTGAATTTAGTAATCCAAGAACCACCAGAAAACATAGATGAAGCACTAAAATATAAACACAGTAACTCAGCTTGTGAACTATTGACTGCAGATGTAGCGGCTATTAATGATAAACTAGGTGAAACTGAGGTAAAATAACTTCATTCACGCTTTCATTGTAACCTCTCTTGTATTCTCTATATTTGTTTCAAGTCAATACAGTTTCTGAATTGGAAAAAAATAGAGAGTTGCTCACTATCTACTAACTATTCTGTAAAACTCTAAATTTGATTTTTTCTATTTTAGGTATTACTGAACAAATTATGGGGATTTTTAGATTCAGAGCCTCCACTGAATCCTCTTCTGGCAAGTTTTTTTAGTAAATGTATGGCAATGCTGTTAACAAGAAAGACAGAGTGTATTATAGAATTTATTAAAACCAAAGACGACCCTATTGGAGTATTAGTGAATCACATCGGAACCTCTGCCATCATGGATCTCATTTTGAGACTTGCTTCCTGTGCTGAAACAGCTCAACTTAGACAAGATATTTCCTATGTAAGTTTGATTTTAAATATTGTCTTAACAAATGCCGTAAAAACAATAAATCATAAAATTCCTAGCAGTGAAACTTAAGTTTTGACAGTTTGTATATGACTAGAACATAATAATAATGAAGAGTATTTATATTGCGCTTAACCTAAATTAGCTCTAAGCACATAACAAAAAAGTAAATTTCAATTCAATTCAAATCAAATAGGTGAGTTTTCAACCTATTACAAAAAGTGTCATGAGAACTTGAGTGGCGGACATCATATGGTAGATTGTTCCAGGTTGCGGGGCCAATATAAGCAAATGTGCGTTCACCATATGTTTTTGTTGAAACGCACGGTTTCAAGAAAAGGAAGAACGAAGTTGTCTGGCAGGAGTATATAGTTGAAGTAGTTGTGATATGTATGATGGACCGATGGCAGCTATGGAATTGTAACAAATACAGTCAAACCTGTGTTAACGACCACCTGTGCAGAGCGGCCACCTGCTCATAGCGACCACCTCAGTACAGTCCCTTCGCAATTTACACGTTAAAGACACTGGATATAGCGACCACCTGTCCAACGCGACCAGCGACCACCCTATTGTATACCTATTCACACTTTAACCTTTGTATAACGACCACCAACATGTCCATCAGACGGCCTCAGCAAAAAGACAATAGCTACTTGTGAATCGCTAACAGGAAAGTGGCCATATGTTACGTTCAGATTACCGAGTACGCAATCTGTAGACAGGGGTGACAATCGCAACTTGGATTGTGAAGTTGCGAAAAAGTAAAAAAAAAAAAAGTTGAATATCATCTGAATGTAACGTCTGGAGACTGGAAAGATTTTAACAACAAATTAAAGCAGTTTCATTCAAAGTTGGAAATGAAAAACTAGCTTGTTTCCGATCGGTACTACCCCGGTATACTATCGATCCCCAAGCCGGCCAAGTGGCACTTCTGTGGACAAGAAAAATGAACCAGTTTAATTAAATGAAGAGATGTTTTATTTACCCTGTCGACATGAAATACCCGAACAAATAATAAAACATTCGATTATTTCGTTCTCATCGCGGGATTGCAAAAT